ATTCATGTATTCTGCCCATTTCTTAACTGGATTATTTGTTTTTTGGGTTTTGAGTTTGGTAAGTTCTTTACAGATTTTGGATACTAACCCTTTTCTCCAGATAAACTTTAGAATCAGTTTGTCAATATCCACAAAATAACTTGCTGGGATTTTGACTGGGATTGTACTCAATCTATAGATCAGGCTGGGAAGAACTGACATTTTGACTTTGAGTCTTCCTATCCATGAACATGGGTTATCTCTTCATTTATTTACTTCTTCTTTGATATCTTCCATCAGAGCTCTCCTCATATAGATTTTGTTAGATATATAACTTAGTAATTTTTTTATGTACTAAGGTAAATGGCAAAATGTTCTTAATTTAAAATTCCATTTGCTCATTGCTGGTATATGGGAAAACACTTGACTTTTGTATATTATCCCTGTATCCTGCAACCTTGTTATGCTGTAATTGCTTTTTTGTTCCACAGTTTTTTTGTTCTTTTTTTGGTTTGTTTTCTACATAGACAATCATGTCATCTGCAAACAAATTTCTTCCTTCCCAATCTGTACAACTTTTATTTCCTTTTTTAGTCAAATTGCATTAGCTAGTACTTCCAGTTTGATGTTGTAAAGCAGTGGTGAGAGGGCACATGATTGCCTTGTTCCTGATCTTTTTGGTTTCACAGCTGTAGGCTTTTTGTAGATGTTCTTTATCAAGTTGAGGAAGTTCCCCTCTGTTTCTAGTTACTCGGAGTTTTTATCATGAATGGGGGTTGGATTTTGTCAAATGCTTTTTCTGCAGCTATTGATATGATTCCCATATGATTTTTAATGTAGATATTAATAACCATGTTGGATCACACTTCTGAATCTGGTGAATGACATAAAAAGAAAGGTACATGATAAATACCCTATGCATCTCTGTCCACCCAATCCACCATTTCATTGATAAAATGAGGACTGAAAGAGTATTGGGTTAACCTCAAAGTTAAAATAAGACAGAAAAGTTGAAACCTTTAGAGAGAAATATATTAATTCTATTAAAAATTCACTGTAATGCTAAAGCAAACATTTAAAATTACTATTATTAAAAAGCTTTCATGGATATTTGCTATTAATCACCACCAATACTCCTACCTTTTGGGAAAGATATGACCAAATGATACTAAATATTTTTTCAAGTATTCATGGAGTATTTTCAAAATCATATCCTATAGTCTACCATAAAGAAAATCATAACAAATATTAAGAATCAATATAATATAGATTATAATCTGTGGCATCTATTTAACTGGATTAGAAAACAATAATAAAAAGATATCTAAATACCTACAAACATGGAGATTCAAAATTAAAAAAAAAATTTTTTTTAAATTCACTGATACAAAAAAGATCATAAGGAACTTTTCATTTAACTTGTATAAAATTAATAACCAATCTTCTTACTCATTTGCTGTAGATTAACAGCAATCTCTGCTAGTTGGCAGAACTAAAACTTTGAGTATTCTTTTTTTTTTGCTTTTTAATTTTTTTTATTTTATTATGTTAGTCACCATACAGTATGTCATTAGTTTTTGATGTAGTGTTCCATGACTCATTGTTTGCATATAACACCCAGTACTCCATGCAATACGTGCCCTCCTTAATACCCATCACCGGGCAAACCCATCCCCCCACCCCCCTCCCCTCTAAAGCCTCAGTTTGTTTCTCAGACTCCATAGTCTCTCATGGCTTGTCTCCCCTTCTGACTTCCTCCCCTTCATTTCTCCCTTCCTTCTCCTAATGTCCTCCATTCCTTATGTTCCACAAATAAGTGAAACCATATGATAAATGACTTTCCCTGTTTGACTTATTTCACTTAGCATAATTTCCTCCAGTCCCATCCATGTTGATGTGAAAGTTGGGTATTCATCCTTGCTGATGGCTGAGTAATATTCTATTGTATATATGGACCACATCTTCTTTAGCCAATCGTCGTCTCAAGGATTGGAAGAATAAAAGTTGTTAAAATGTCTATGCTGCCCAGAGCAATCTTTACCTTCAATGCCATTCTGATCAAAATTCCAATGGCATTTTTCAAAGTGCTGGAACAAACAATCCTAAAATTTGTATGGAATCAGAAAAGACCCTGAATCACCAAGGAAATGTTAGAAAAGAAAAACAAAGCTGGGGGCATCACATTGCCTGATTTCAAGCTGTATTACAAAGCTGTGATCACCAAGACAGCATGGTACTGGCACAAAAACAGACACATAGACCAATAGAACAGAATAGAGAGTCCAGATATGGACCCTCAACTCTATGGTCAAATAATCTTTGACAAAGTAGGAAAAAAATGCAATGGAAAAAAGACAGTCTCTTCAATAAATGGTGCTGGGAAAATTGGACAGCTATATACAGAAGAATGAAACTCGACCATTCTCTTACACCATACACAAAGATAAACTCAAAATGGATGAAAGACCTCAATGTGAGACAGGAATCCATCAAAATCCAGTAACCTCTTCAACAACAGCCACAGCAACTTCTTTCAAGACACGTCCCCAAAGGCAAGCGAAACAAAAGCGAAAATGAACTTTTGGGACTTAAGATAAAAAGCTTCTGCACAGCAAAGGAAACAGTCAATAAACCAAAGAGGCAACCCATGGAATGAGAGAAGATTTTTGCAAATAACATTACAGACAAAGGGCTGATATCCAAGATCTATAAAGAACTTCTTAAATTCAACACCCAAAAAACCTTGAGTATTTTTTTAAAGATTTTATTTATTCATTCGAGACACAGAGATACAGAGAGAGAGACAGAGAGAGAGAGAGAAAGAGAGAGCACGAGCAGGGGGAGAGGCAGAGGGAGAAGCAGGCTCCCCGCTGAGCCAGGAGACAGACATGGGGCTCGATCCCAGGACCCTGGGATCATGACCTGAGCCGAAGGCATATGCTTAACCATCTGAGCCACCCAGGCGCCCCAACCTTGATTATTTTTAAAAGAAACTGTACCCTGTAGGAGAAAATAAAAGCTGTGCTGCTTTCCAAAGGGAGATGTGTGGCTAGACTGGCTCGGGTCTTTTCTTAAACCTATCAAAAAATCTGCACACTAACCTAAAACAAGTTTTTCTCCTTCCTACAAGCGTAACTTAGTTTTGGGTTAGCTAAAGTATGCTTAACTTCTCTCCTTGACTTCGGTACTTAAGAATATAAATCAATAGCCAATGTCAGGTTATTATGTCTCAAACCACAGTCTGAGTTTTTGAGTTACCTGAGAAAATCTGCTCTTTAAAGTAATCAAATGTGTCTTCCTTCAGACATATTTCTCAATGCCTAATATTTAAAACACTTTTCAATTAATCAGCACAGTTTTCCCCATGGAATCAATATGACATCAGACAATATTTAATATCTTTAGAAAAATCCACTTAGCTATGGATTACAATTGTTTTACTATAAATCATAAGAAATACCTTTTTGTAATAAACTGAAATAAAAATTTTTGCTCTAAAGTGAGTTTATGTAACTCTGGTTGTGGTTGTTAAGCGTCACTATTTTAAAAATCTCTGCAGATCTTTTTTTTTTTTTTTATATTTTATTTATTTATTCATGAAAGACAGAGAGAGAGAGAGAGAGGCAGAGGGAGAAGCAGGCTCCCAAGGAGCAGGGAGCCCGATGCGGGACTCGATCCCAGGACCCTGGGATCATGACCTGAGCCGAAGGCAGACGCTTAACCATCTGAGCCACCCAGGCGCCCAAAAATCTCTGCAGATCTTATCCAACACGCATTCCTTTGGGAAAAGAGAAAGAAATAGTGTTCTTGTCCTTTCAGAGTTTATAAGCCATTAAATGATGCTGGACTGGGGTAGGACCTTCTTCTACGCTGCGAATCTGCTGAGAGCTAAATCAGTCCATGTAAGAGAACAAGCACAAGAGCAAGGTGATAGAAGAGGAAGCAAAACTGAAAAACAACAAATAATTAGACATGACTAATTGGCCACATGGCATCCCATTAATTTTACTTAATGTTCCTTCACCCTTAAAACAGATGACATTAAACAAACAAAAAGTAACAATTTCTTGTTCTATTACTCTCAGGATCTATACACAAAGACAAAAGTCTCATCATGTACATTACAGAGTTTGTAGAATGTGGAACATGTGCTCCTTTTTCAGAGTTGTTTAAATACCAGTCAGTAAATATTTATTAAAGAACATACTGTGAAAACACTGTGCTAGGCAATGGGGAAAATAAAAGGAGGCTTAAGACTCTTCTGTTTTGAGGTATTTACAATCTAATTGGAAAGATAAGATTTTAATGAAGAAAGAGGAAGGGAGAGGGTAGGAGGGAGAGGAGACAGAGAGAACTAACATAATGTAACATATTTATTACAAGACATTATTCATTGCTAAGTTTTGTAGTAAAGATTAAAAGTGATATAGAGATTCAGAAAATATTAGAGTTTGTGAAGTTGAAAATATCTTCCCAATCTCTGAAGATTCTTGTACTTTTATTCCCCTGTAAGCAAGGCTATTAAATTCCATTTCATCAAATCTTGTTAAATTTACACATTTAATTTCACCTCTAGACACACAAGTACTCTTTTCCTTTCTCCTCTTTGCTTACTTATACTTCAGTACTCATTTTTTTGGGGAAGCTTGTCTTTCTTCTTTCCCACTGTCATATATATGTTCTCTTTCTCCCTCATCTCCCAGATGAACCTGGCATATGGTAGCAGTTGCAGATGGGTGCTTCAATAGCACCCTGTGTGTTCTTTGTCAAAAAAAGTAATTGTAGTAAAATGTGATAAATGCCATCCATCTTTCTTGCTAGACCATAAGTTCCAAGATTGCAGGTAACATGTTTATTTTGATTTTTACTCTTCTCTAAGCATCTAGCATAATTCTTATGCTTACTTATTAAGTATCTTCTGAATGGACAAGGATGCCCATTACAAGATACATTAACATGCATCCTGGACTTTAAAATAATCAATATTCAGAAGAAAATATCAATATAGTGTTCTAACATACCATTTGAAGGGCTGACAGTTCTTCTACTAGTCGAGAAATCTGTACATTACACTGTTTTCTTGTGCTTGCAACCTGTAAATTAAGACATTTATAAATTGTTTAGGTTCTCAAAAAATGATTAATACCCAATAAAAATATTTAGGATAATAATTTTGATAAAAAATAAAATTATAACTCTTAGGTCATAAAAAACAAGCACTTTTTCATGTGTCTGTTGGCTATTTGGATGTCTTCTTTGGAAAAATGTCTGTTCATGTTTTCTGCCCATTTCTTGATTGGATTATTTGTTCTTCGGGTGTTGAGTTTGATGTTCTTTATAGATTTTGTATACTAGCCCTTTATCTGATATTTCATTTGCAAATATCTTTTCCCATTCTGTCGGTTGTCTTTTGGTTTTGTTGATTGTTCCCTTTGCTGTGCACAAGCTTTTTATCTTGATGAAGTCCCAATAGTTCATTTTTGCCCTTGCTTCCCTTGCCTTTAGCGATGTTTCTAGGAAGAAGTTGCTGTGGCTGAGGTTGAAGAGGTGGCTGCCTGTGTTCTCCTCTAGGATTTTGATGGACTCATCCAAATGGCCAACAGACACATGAAAAAGTGCTCAACATCGCTCAGCATAGGGAAATCCAAATCAAAACCTCAATGAGATACCACCTCACACCAGTCAGAATGGCTAAAATTAACAAGTCAGGAAACGACAGATGTTGGCGAGGATGCAGAGAAAGGGGAACCCTCCTACACTGTTGGTGGGAATGCAAGCTGGGGCAGCCACTCTGGAAAACAGTATGGAGGTTCTTCAAAAAGTTGAAAATAGAGCTACCCTACGACCCAGTAATTGCACTACTGGGTATTTACCCCAAAGATACAAATGTAGGGATCCAAAGGGGTATGTGCACCCCGATGTTTACAGCAGCAATGTCCACAATAGCCACACTGTGGTAAGAGCCAAGATGTCCATCGACAGATGAATGGATAAGAAGATGTGTTGTATATATACAATGGAATATTATGCAGCCATCAAAAGGAATGAGATCTTGCCATTTGCAATGATGTGGATGGAACTGGAGGGTTTTATGCTGAGCGAAATAAGTCAATCAGAGAAAGACATGTATCATATGATCTCACTGATATGAGGAATTCTTAATCTCAGGAAACAAACTGAGGGTTGCTGGAGTGGTGGGGGATGTGAGGGATGAGGTGGCTGGGAGATAGACATTGGGGAGGGTATGTGCTATGGGGAGCGCTGTGAATTGTGTAAGACTGATGAATCACAGACCTGTACCTCTGAAACAAATGGGGGGGTGGGGGGATGGGTTAGCCTGTGATGGGTATTAAAGAGGGCACGTATTGAATGGAGCACTGGGTGTCATATGCAAACAATGAATCATGGAACACTACACCAAAAACTAACAATGTAATGTATGGTGATTAACATAACATAATAAAATTAAATTAAAAAAATAAGCACATGGTATATTAAAGAATCAAGACTTTACCATGATAGTGGAGGGAGAGTGAATTTCTATTAAAGTTTACCATATCAGAAGTGAAAACTGGGAATATTTCAAAATAATTACTAATCTCTTTAAAGATAGTAACTAAAGTCATTACAGGTTAACATAAATAACATTTTTTATGAAAAATAAGTAGATTTTCCAAAACTGAAAATTTTTTAGAAGAATGGTATTTTACATTTTTGCAAATTTCCTTAATGTCTGGCTCAAAAGAAGACAGCCAGATTCTCATATCTACTTCTATGTTCAATCTGTTGTGTTGTTGCATATCATCAGCCTCTGGAAAACAACACTGTACAGTCATGAGAGAATGAGTATGAAAAAAGCAAACGGTAAACTCTAAGTATGAAAGTTAGGTTTGACCTTGCAGACGCTCTGAGCAACACTTTTTGAGAACTCCTGCCACAGAGCAAGTCAAGAGAAAAACTGAATTACACACTAAAAATGTAACTAATAACTTTTAAGGCACTTTTGTTTTATAAACAGAAGAATATTTTTTTATATTGCACATATTTCAGTACTAAGTAAATTATTTTGTGAGGAAAACTTTTATTTGAATTAACATTTAAATTACTTTAAAAACATTATGATTTATGTATACAGAATATTTTGAAGAATTAGTTACTTCTCTTTGGGATGGCTCCTATGACAATGTATTTTTTTTTTTAAAGATTTTATTTATTTATTTGAGAGAGAGAGAATGAGAGATAGAGAGCACGAGAGGGAAGAGGGCCAGAGGGAGAAGCAGACTCCCTGCTGAGCAGGGAGCCCGATGCGGGACTCGATCCCGGGACTCCAGGATCATGACCTGAACCGAAGGCAGTCGCTTAACCAACTGAGCCACCCAGGCGCCCCGACAATGTATTTTTCTAATAACTACTCATGCTTTTTAAAAAGACCACGAGGAATATTGATACTGATGCTATGTCATTAGTAAACATGTATGATCCAAAGAGTTTTGGAAATTTTCTAGGATCTTATAAAATAGATTATTTCCAAAACATGAGGTAAGCCTTCCTTAGAACATTTATAACACTGACATATTTTATTACATTGACATATATTTTATTTGGTTAATTAATATGAGTTACCTTTCTGAAGACATGACAAACATATGTGGGTCCCTTTGAGCTTTATTTAGATTTAATTTGGTGCAAACTCTGCCTATGAATAATTATACGAAGGATCAATCCATCCTATTTATGGATCAGTGATAATCACAGCATTTACTGAGGTCTGATGTGTGAGGAACTGTTTAGAGTGCTTATTAAAGTGTTATTATCTCATTAATTCTCACCAAGAATCTGATCAAGTAGTTATTATCCACATTATAGATGAGGAAGATTAAGGCACAGAGAAATAAAGTCATGGTTTTCAGAATATAAAAATTTTAGTTCCTTTGAGGGCAGTCATGTCTGTCTCTCACACAAAAAATGTTCTTTTTAGTATCTAGAAATGATGCAGCTAGTATGAGGGTTTAATACCATAGTAGTAAATATATTTTGAAATATTTTTACAGTAACGCTGATAAATTCAGTGAATTAACTTATTCATATTTACTAAAAAGACTGTGTAGGACTACTGAAACTGATGGTATATCATCAGTAAAATCCTATGCTACAAAGGTCACAGAAAATATTTTGAGGTTAGTATCTGATAAAACACAATGTAAATTTTGTTACGTGAGCAAATACACATATTTGAGAGGGAGTTTAATGCAGTTGGGGTTCAGAAGTCTGTATGGGAACCAAAGTCACCTCTCTTATCCTAACCTCACTTTTTTTTTTTTAAAGATTTTATTTATTTATTTGAGAGAGAGAGCACATGAGAGAAGGGAGGGTCAGAGGGAGAAGCAGACTCCCTGCTGAGCAGGGAGCCTGATGCGGGACTCGATCCAGGGACTTCAGGATCATGACCCGAGCCAAAGGCAGCCGCTTAACCAACTGAGCCACCCAGGCGCCCCTCACTTTCTTTATGTAAACATTTTCTTTGATAATTTATGGATAGTAAGGGTATTTATAAACCAAATAGTAAGGTAAATTACCAAGAGACAGACATAGAAAAGGCCAATAATGGTGCAAATATTGCCTAACTGGATGAATATAATTTTGATCACAAATTTTAAGCCATGATTTAAAATCAAAATGAAAATAAAATGTTATTTTCACAAATTAAGTTTTACTTGTTTGAAAGAGATCTGAGAAAAAGCTACATCTGTATTTTAAAGAAATAAGCTATGGTCATATTTTGTTCAGTTTTACAGCCAGAACATAAATATGTGACAATTCATTATATTTACTTTGTTAATAAAAAGATACTTCTAAAGTCATTAGACATAAGTAATCCCCAATTCAACAGATTAATTCTACATATTTGGAGGACATGTCAAATTATGATAAGTGGGGCAATTATCACCAATACAGGTGAAAATTTTTAAACAAAAACATTAAAAAATATATTTTAAAAATATAAATGGATATAAGGAAGATATACTACATGCTCTATAAGATATTATATATATAGCTTATTTATACATAGTTAATGAAAATAATACCTACTCTTTGAAATTCCACACACTGCAAAATTATAATATGTAGAAAGAGAAAGGGTCCTCATTATTCTATCTTCTAGGCTTAGCACTATTTGAAGGTTGATGTATATAGCTCCAGAATGTTTTGTTTCACAGATAGCTACACCACATCATTAATAATTTGCAATTAAATGAAAATTCAGAGGACAATGCTAACAATAGTGTTTATCTCTAGGTAGTGGAATTGTAAGTGATTTGTAAGTTATTTGTTTTTTGGGTATTGAGTTTGATATGTTCTTTATAGGTTTTGGATACTAGCCCTTTATCTGATATGTCATTTGCAAATATCTTCTCCCATTCCATAGGTTGCCTTTTAGTTTTGTTGATTTTTTCCTTTTGATTGTGCAAAAGCTTTTTATCCTGGTGAAGTCCCAATAGTTCATTTTTGCTTCTCTTTCCCTTGCTTTTGGAGACATGTCTAGTAAGAAGTTGCTGCAGCTGAGGTCAAAGAGGTTGCTGCCTGCGTTCTCCAGGATTCTGATGGATTCCTGTCTCACATTTAGGTCTTTATTCCATTTTGAGTTTATTTTTTGTGCATGGTGTAAGAAAGTGGTCCAGTTTCATTCTTCTGCACGTGGCTGTCCAGTTTTCCCAACATCATTTGTTGAAGAGACTGTCTTTTTTCCATTGAACATTCTTTCCTGCTTTGTCAAAGATTAGTTGACCATAGAGTTGAGGGTCCATTTCTGGGGTCTCTATTCTGTTCCACTGATCTATGTGTCGTTTTGTGCCAGTACCATACTGTCTTGATGATTACAGCTTTGTAATACAGCTTGAAGTCTGGAACTGTGACACCTCCAGCTTTGGTTTTCTTTTTCAACATTATCTTGGCTATTTGGGATCTTTTCTAGTTCCATACAAATTTTAGGATTATTTGTTCCACCTCTGAAAAATGCTGATGGTAGTTTTTTTTTTTTAAAGGTTTTATTTATTTGTCAGAGAAGCACAAGTAGGGCGAGTGGCAGGCAGAG